GAAAGAGTCCCCACACCCAGAGGAGTTGGCGCTGGGTTACAAATCTGGCTGTGAGTCTTCTTGTGCTGCCTGAGGGTATGTGAGGACAGAGAGAGATCAGGGCTGTGTCAACCCATGAACTCTGAAGTGGTGTAACTGTATGAGGCCAGGCCTTATAAACTATGAAGTGCTATGAAGTGTCTACATGAGGCTAGGCCATATAAACTGTGAAGTACTGTACCCATGCGAGGCCAAGCCTTTTAAATTGTGATGTGCTAGGACTTTAGGAGGTCAGGCCTTTTAAACTATGAAGTACTGGCCCACATAAGACCAGGCCATATAAATTGTAAAGTGCTAGACCCATCTTGCTGTCAGCTCAGGCCTAAGGAGTAAGAACAGGTGCATTGCTTCCTGAGCAAAATGCCCAGGTGTGGGGGTCAGAGGACTATCCACACCCCCAGCATCTTCCTACTGTTTTTTTTCTCTCTGCCCAGGAGTCCCTGTACTCATTCGCACTCAAATGCCTCATCAGCCTCTCCACGGTTATCCTGCTGGGCCTAGTTGTCCTCTACCATGCTCGGGAGATCCAGGTCAGTGCCTGGCTGGGCCAGGATACCCTCCTCCCTGTACCCCAGTGCCCCCCACACCAGCCACCTGGGACCCCAGTTTCTTAAACATAAAAGGACCAAGAGCTTCCTTATAGAAAAAAAAAAGATCTCCGTGATGACGCATCATTTAGACCACCCCCAATTTTCCTGAACGTGTGTCTATGTTTTAATATTTATTGATTATTTGAGAAAAAAAGGGACAGTGAGAGCATGGGGTGGGGGGTGTGAGCTAGCGTCTGGTACACGATGGGCATTTCGCAGCCCTCAGGTCTTCTGAAGTTTTGCAGTGGTGAAAACCAGTGTTCATAGTACCAGGCTCCTTTCCTATTCAATCGGTCCTTGCATTTAAAAGATTTATTATGTGCCACAGAGTTTGTTCTTCTGTTTTGGGGGTTAATCAAAACCAGTTTGGGCCTGAGTCTAGCTCAAGGAGTGTCAGGCAGATGTGCCCACAGCAGACAGACATCACTTGGGTCTGGTGCCAGGTTGCAGGGACACCAAAAGTTGACAGATCTGCCTCTTCACCCCTGGCCTCTGACCCCTGACAGTCTGACAGGAGATGGGCACAGAAGAATCCTGCCTGGGTTGCACCATGTGCAGAAGTTTTGAGGACATCCGGGATCTGGCTCACAGAATGGGCTCTGGATGTGGCTGGGGGCAGCAGAGATGGGGACAGTGACAGCTGAGCTGGAAGGAAGCAGTTCTGAGGGTACAGCCTCTGGGGACAATAGTCTGGCAGTTCCTTAGATAGTTAAACATGGAGTTACCATATGATCCAGCAATTCTATTCCTAGGTATAGATCCAAGAGAAACAAAACATTCACATGAAAACTTGTACATGGATGTTCATAGCAGCCCTATTCACAGCAGCCAAAAAGTGGAAACAACTCAGATGTCTTTAACCGGTATATGGAGAAACAAAATGTGGTCCATCCATATAGTGGGATTGTTATTCATTGTATTATTCATATATTATTGTATTCACATATTATTCATATATTGTCTTATTCAGCTTTAAAAAGAACAAAGCACTGTAAGAGTTTGCTAAGGCTGCTGTAACAAACTTCCACAGCAGGATGGCTTAAACAACAGAAATTTATTCTCTCACAGTTTTGGAGGTTGCAAATCCAAGACCAGGTGCTAACAGGTTTGGTTCCTGGTGAGGCCTGTCTCCTCGAAGTGCAGGTGGCCACTTTCTTGCTGTGTCCTTGCATGGCCTTTTCCCTGTGTTCATCAATCCTTAGTGTCTCTTCCTCTTCTTAAAAGGACACCAGTCCTATAGAATTAGGGCCCCATCCTCATACCTTCATTTAACCTTAATCACCTCTTTAAAGGCCTTGTCTCCAAATACAGTCACATTGGGAGTTAGGGCTTCAACATATGAATTTTGAAGGGACACGATTCAGTCCATACCACTCTGCCCTGTAGCCCATCCCCCAATTCATGTCCTCCTCTGCAAAATGCATTCACCCCATTCCAGTAGCCCCCAAAGTGTTAATCCTGTCTAGCATCAACTCAAAGTCCAAAGTCTTATTTATATCGTCTAAATCACCTATATCAGGTCTAGGTGAGACTGAGGCAAGGTTCTTCTCCAGCTATGAACCAGACAATTCACTGCTTCCAAAATATAGTGGTGAGACAGGCATAGGACAGACATCCCAGTTCCAAAGGAGAGAATCCAAAAGAAGGAGCGATGGGTCCTAATCAAGTCTAAGAGCCAGTAAGGTAGATTACATGAGTTTCGAAGGCTCAGGAGTAATCCTCTTGGCTCAAAGCTCCACCTACCAGGCCCACTGCGGTGGCAATATCTCCCCCTCAGCCATGGCTGGTGGCATGTTGTGACTGACTTCTTTCACTCAGCATGATATAATCAAGGTTCATCCATGTCGTAGTGCTTCATTCCTCCTTATGGCTGAGTAATATTCCACTGTCTGGATGGACGCATTTTGTTCATCTGCTCATCCTTTGATGGACACTTGGGTTGTTTCCACTTCTGGTGATTGTGAATAGTGCTGCTGTAGTTGTACATGTACAAGGATTTGTTCTAACAGCTGTTTTCGTTTCTCTTATGAATCCCACCTAGGAGTGGGATTGCTGGGTCATTGGTCACTATGTTTAACTTTTGGGGGACCATCCGTCCCATGTTTAGTTTGAGTTGTGGCCAACCCCCAGATCTAGGAAGTTTTGTTTATGAGGCCATGTTTCTCCTAAAAGAGGAGTGGGCGGGGTTAGGGGTGGGGTTTTGGGTGGGGGCCCTTGCTGAGGGGCCTGGGTACATGTCAGAGACTCACTGCCTCCCACCTGCCCTCTGCAGCTGTTCATGGTGGACAACGGGGCAGATGACTGGCGCATCGCCATGACGTGCGAACGTGTCCTCCTTATCTCCCTGGAGCTGGCCGTGTGTGCCATCCACCCTGTGCCTGGCCACTACCGTTTCACGTGGACGGCGCGGCTGGCCTTCACGTACGCACCCGCAGCGGCCGAGGCAGACGTGGACGTGCTGCTCTCCGTGCCCATGTTCCTGCGCCTTTACCTGCTGGGGCGCGTTATGCTGCTGCACAGCAAGATCTTCACCGACGCCTCGTCCCGCAGTATCGGGGCGCTCAACAAGATCACTTTCAACACGCGCTTCGTCATGAAAACGCTCATGACCATCTGCCCAGGCACCGTGCTGCTCGTTTTCAGCATCTCCTCCTGGATCATCGCTGCCTGGACCGTGCGCGTATGCGAGAGGTGTGACTTGATCCCAACCTCCACCCTGGTGACCCCATGCCCACCCACTGACCCAGGGCTCCCACAGCCCTCTCCTTCATCCCCTTCACCTCTCTCCTGAGTTCCTGGCCTTAGTAACCATCCCTCAACTCCTTGACTTCAGCCTTGTGTCCCCACCTACCCCTGGCCCCTACCCCAACCCACACACCTCTGGGACCCCAGCCCTCTCTTCCTCTCCCACCCTCCCCCAGGGAGCTCATACTCCTTTTTCTCCCCGCCCCTCCACTCTGTGGGCAGCTGACCTCTGGCCTCTGGCCCAAGCAGTGGAGGCAGCAGGAACAGGGACACTTCTCATTCGCTTGTCTCCCCCACAATTTAACCTGCTCTCCTTCTCCCCTCTGCCCGCCCCGCCGGACTATAGGGAAAACATGTGAGTCCCACCCTTGGCCGAGCTGTGTGCACTGAGCTGCCGCCACCATGCTGCCAGCCAGGAATTTAAGATTAGCTGCCATGAGGGGAGGGAATGGGGAGGTGAGGCGGGGTGGCTAGGACTGGCTAGAGCCCATGGGGCATGGGGAGAGCCCATCTCTGCACCCAGAGCCAGGTGGGATTGAGTCAGTCCCAGGACAGTGGGAGGCAGGCCACTCTCAGGTTGTGTCTACTGGGCATCCTTGGGGGCCTGGTGTCTAAGGCCTGGAGAGGAAAAAAGGCTTTGCTCTGGTGTCTTGTCTGGGTGGCTGACTTCCAGGTCTAGAGTCTGGAGTGAAAGAATACTGGCCCACCCTTTAGGACCTCCCATTCAGGATTTGTTCTGAACAGCCTTGGAAGGTGGTGGGCTATCAACCCAACTTACAGATGAGGAAACTGAGGCTCTCAAGGGAAAAGAGACATTCCCAAAGACCTGTTCCTGGTCATCTCCAGATGCCTGGGGACTCCAGGAGAGGGAGGGGCTCTGCTGGGCCTCTCAGGGCATGGGGGTACTTTGTCGGGAGGGGTGTCTCCTGCCTCTTGCCTAGTTAGGGAAGGCCCTGGAGGGGTCTGTGGTGGGTGGCACTGTGACTGGACTTCCTGGGGGTCTCTGGGCTGGACCTGCCCCCGAGGACCCATGACCTCACCCCTTTAAGCCTCTACTCCACAGACTCCACCTCAGCCTGAAGTGGAGCTCACAGGGGTGAGGGCCCAGCTCTTCCTGTCATGGAGGCTTAGTTCTGGGGGGGGTCACATAGGGTCCCTTTGGACCCATGATGTGCTCCAGTGCCAGTTCTCACAGCCCATCCCCCACCCCCTCAGGGTGGGCTCAGGATCAGAGTCTGAGGAGTGAGAGACAGGTGCCCCTCATCAAGCATCCCTGAGGTCCAGGCTGGGTCATTTCAGGAGCCCCTGGGTGGGGGTAGGAATAGGGTAAGGTAAGGGGGGCAGCCAATCCTAAATTCTGAGCCTATGACACTGCTTGAAACCCCCTCACTCCCCCCGCCCCGCCATGGTTCTGTCCCACCCCTACCCCACCTCCCGCATGCCCCCCACTCCCTGGACCTGGATTGTCCTGAGTGGTTCTGCAGCACCCACCATAATTGCAGCTGGGCCTAGGGCTCCCCCACCTATGGTTGGAGGGCCCCTTTCTCCTCTTGTCTGCTAGGTGGGAGGTGCTGGTCTCCCAAGAAGTGGAGGCTGGGGCAGTTTGGGGCTCAGATACGCCAATGAAAGATGGGGGTCAATTCCTGGTCCTCCACACCTGGCAAGCAACCTGGAAGCCCCCCAGCAGGGTGGAGACTCTCAAACACCAAGCTTGCTGAGAAGGCCTCCATTCCTCCCACCCACTATTGGGGCTTCCCTTCCCTCCTCCCCCTCTTGAACCCCTAACCCCAGCTCCTTCTGCCTGGAATAGCCCTCCTCCAGCTCCCCCTGACTCTCCCCAGCCAGGGACCTACCTCCTTTGTTGACCTCAGTTGACCTCTGACCTTGAATCTCTCCAGGGGAGGTCTCCACCCACTGGCATGGGTATCAGATGGCCTCAGGTCCAGGAAGGAGGGGGTCAGTTGAAAAGGGCTCCTCTGAGCTGGAGGGGCTTTGCAGGCTAGGTGCTGGGCTGGAGCAGGACCTTGAGTTGCCCCCAGACCCAGAGAACCAGCCTCTCAGCCCCACAGCCTAGGCTGACCACAGGTAAAACCTAACCTGTTCATAGCCCATTGTGGCCAGGATTCCAGGCCAGGCTGTGATGGGGACAAAATAGTGTCCTTTGCAGGGCCTTGGGGCCTGTCTCCCCTCCCCGCCAGCTGGGGCTCTTCCCCCAGTGCCATGTGAGCTGCCTCTTCCCTCCTCACCTGTAGACCAACCCCAGACTCAGGATTGGGACAACCGGTGCTGCCTTTCACATATTGACGTCCCTTCTTCTCTCAGGTCCTGGAGTGTGTTCCTCCAGCCTCCCATCTCCCCCAGTAGCCCTCCTCCCTCCTTGGGACCTTGCTGGCTGGGGAAGTTCTGTCTGGTGTCTGACCTGAATCCTCACCTCCACTCCCTGATGCTTCTGGCACCTGTGGCCACCCATGTCCGTGTCTGTCTGTGTGTCTGTCTTTGGGAAGGGGATAAGGTGTACATGTGTGAACCCACGTGGATGCACCCTCACTTGGACCCCTCTCTGCCCCATGACCAGGGCCTGGAGGACAGACATCCTGGGCAGCAGCTTGGGGGTCGGGCAAAGGTATGAGGCTAGAAGGGAGGCTAGGAGGAGGGCGTGGGTGCCCTCCGCCCCATGGGGGCTGCCTCAGGAGCTGACCAGCCCTCCCATGACCACACCTTTATCACTCTGAGCCCCCAGAGTGACCGGTTCCCTACTGTCAAGGCACTGCCCCCAGGGGGTGTGATGAAGGGAGAGGGACTGGTGTGGGCTGACTGGCCCTCCCCACTCTCCCCAGGTACCACGATAAGCAGGAAGTGACCAGCAACTTCCTGGGGGCCATGTGGCTAATCTCCATCACCTTCCTCTCCATCGGCTACGGCGACATGGTGCCCCACACCTACTGCGGGAAGGGTGTGTGCCTGCTCACCGGTATCATGGTAAGGGCCAGGGCCCTTGCACATCCCCTGCCAACAGGAAACTCACCCCATTACAAGTTGTACCACATCACAGTCCCTCTTCATGTCCACCAGCCCCTCTGTGGCCCTCCTGCTTACCTCTGATGTAATACAGAATTTGCACCCTCGGGCTACCTGGGGACATCTCCTCTTGGGGTCTTCCAGCCTTAGATATGCAGCCCCCTGTGTGCTCGCCTGGCTAGATGCTGTGGTCCACTCTGACCAGAGTGTCATTGTGGCCCCTTTATTCTCCTCAGCCCACTTAATTCACAGCCCCTGGATGCAGGGCAAGAGACTTGGTGCTTCCATGACTTAGTTTCCCTGGCTATAACCAGTGTCCACTTCCCCTGCTTGTCGCAAGGATCGAGTCTGTTCATTTATATGAAATGCCTAGATCCATGAATGCCTCGGACACTCACTTAATTCCCCATCCTTTCCTGATTTTGGGGGTGGCCTGAGCAACCCCGCTGAGACCCCATAGTTTGAAGTTTGTCTCGTGTGACTGGGTGGGTCCAGGCAACACCCCATCTCCCTCAGAGATTTCTGAAATTTGTCACACGTAAGGGCAACCTTTAGACATCTGATGCCTTCTCCTTTCCCTGATTCCATCATCAAGTTCCATTCTTCCAGAACTTTCTTTCTCCTCAAGCTTCTTTCATCTCCCCTACAAATGTTTTTCCATGTTTTAGATTATAAATTGTCCCAAGCACAGAGAACTCCTCTCCCTACCCCGTAGTTAATAACATGCTCACCTGTGAAAAATCAGTAAATGCTCATAGGCCATCTGATTCCACACCAGGGGCCACCGCAGGCCACTCCCTCGAGTGTTTCCTTCCTTTTTTCAGTACAGAGAGAAGCGTTTGTTCTTGGAAAAACATGACACTATCCCCACAATTCCTTTCCTCCCAAGAGGGAGGGGCTGGTTTGCCGGGACTCAGCCCAGCCCCCTTCACCGCATGTAGACTGTCCCCAGTTGTCACCATCTCTCAAAGCCTAAAGCCCAGTCGCTCTGTCTCTCTTCACCTCTCATCCCCTCCCATTTGGACACAGCTGGGATCCGTGTCCTCCTGCCCCCACCAAGGCCACCCTTTTCCTGGCCCAGCTGAACACAGCCCTTCTCTCGTGAAATAGCATCACACATATTTGCTTCTGTTATTTTGTGACAGTGAAAGGGCAACAAAGAAAGATCTGCCACAGTCCCCTCCTCCCTCCCCCAGCAAATGAACTTTACAAATGAACAAACAAACAAACAAACAAACAAAAAACTGAAGATAAGACGAGGGCTTTAAATCCAGAAAACCTTCAGTGAAATGAAAAAGCTGTGTTCCCTTCTCTGGGATTCAGCTCCTTCCAGAAAATCAGTTCCATGTCCAGCCTGCAGCTCACTCCCTACCCTTGCCCCCAGTATATGCATGCACAGTCATGCTTGGATCCCTTTTAGCTGCTCTGTTAGCCCTCTGTTCCATCTGTGCCCAAGTGTGTCCCCTCCCGGTCACTGCCCCATGGACTCGCTCCCTTCCACTGTCACACCAACCGCGTGTTTCCCCTTCTTGACCTTCAAGGCATCTCAGCATGACCTCCTCTGAGCTCGGCATTTTCCACTTAGCATTTTTCTCTCAACACGGCATCCATGCTGTTGTGCGGAGCTGTCATCCATTCTTTTCCTCTGCTGCATAGTATTCCACAGGCAGGTTTCCAGCATGTTGCTTTGCCCCCAATTGCCAGGGCTTTTCCTAAGAAGGGGCTCCTGGGTGCTCCCAAGATCTTCGTTCTGGCCAAGAACCCTCAACTTTGTGCCCACCCTGCCAGGCTGGGCATGTTGGCTTCCAGACCCAACCAGGACAGTCTGACAGTGTCCCTGGCCCCTTCCTTTCCCTCCCCATAAATGTTTCCTTTTATCCCTAGAAAAACTGAACTATTCCCCCTTCCCATTGACTCCCAGGGCCTGACCTCTGTCTCTTTCCATCCTGTACTTAGCAGCCACAGGACGAAACAGCAGGCAGGTGAGCCACCAGGGACAGCCTGCAGCACACGTGGGGAGACAACCTTTTGGCCCCATCACTTGTCCCTGCCACCTGCCTTCTGGCCACTCCTGAGGCTGATGACACCTCCTGAGTACACTAGGCTCCTTGATAAAACCTCCCCCTTTCCCACTCCTGAGTCGCTTTTTGCTGCCCCCTACCCATACCTGTCTGCCCTTCATTACCCCTTGGGGCCTCACTCCTGCCCTCTTCCCCGGTGGCCCCCGAGAAGGCAAGCGAGTCCTCTCTGACCTCCTTCCCTAGCTAGGGTCTGGCTGCCATTTAGGGTGTCCTGGGGAGGGTGGTTGTACCCAGCAGGGAGCCCACATGGGGAGGCACTCCTCCCCCAACTTCCCTGCCTCCTGAGACCTGCACTTAGCCTCTTCCTCTTGCAAATGCCCCACTGTGGGTAACCCGCTGGCTCTTCCCTCACATTGTCCATATCACCCACCAGCTGACTCTTGTTACTGCTCAACTACCTGCCAGCCTGGTCTCTGTCCCCAACACGTATACCCTGAAGCCATGACAGAGATGCTTCTAAATCCTCCCACCTCTGTGGTCGTTGGCCCTGAATGTGCCTGCTGATCCTGCTGTTTCTAGTCCCTTTCTTATCTCTGAGCCTCAATTTCCCCCTCTGCCCAATGGAGATAAGAGTAGTCCTACGTCTCCACGTTGCTGGAATCAAATGAGCTAATCTGTGGGACACACTCCCCAGACGTTTGACGTATAAAGCAAGTGGGGTCATAAGTCAGTAAGCTAATTCTATGCTAACACTGTGGGCTTGGAGGGTAAAGGCAAGGGTGGAACCAAGGCTTCCTGGAGGAGGGAGGATGTCCTGCTTGTGGCCTGGGACCCATATGAAGTGGACACTGATGTGCCCTTCCCCTCCCCCCATGCAGGGGGCTGGCTGCACGGCGCTTGTGGTGGCCGTAGTGGCCCGGAAACTGGAGCTCACCAAAGCAGAGAAGCATGTGCACAACTTCATGATGGACACGCAGCTCACCAAGCGGGTAAGGGCGCCAGCCCCCATCACAGTTACCCCTTCCCAGTTGTCAAGGGCAGACCCTCCCCACCTTATTTCTGCACACACCAGGCTCACCCATGTGTGTGCCAAGACTGAACTGGGCTCAGCCACTTATAGGAACATCCATGAGCCGTGCACAGCGATGGGGCAGTGGCCACAGGTGGATACCTGTGTGCCCAGTTACAGTCTAGCTGTGGGCTGCACAGTGAGAGGCAGGGATTCTGGGGCCAAGCAGCCAGACGCAACTTATAAGCTGTCTGACTTTGGCAGGTCAGCTTCTCTGTGCCTCAGTTTCTCTATGTATATAATGGGGAACTGTTCTTTCTCTGGTCCCAGGTAAAAAATGCCGCCGCTAACGTTCTCAGGGAGACGTGGCTCATCTACAAACACACCAGGCTGGTGAAGAAGCCAGACCACGCCCGGGTTCGGAAACACCAGCGTAAGTTCCTCCAAGCCATCCATCAGTAAGTCCAGCACCTTTCCCACTCACGTTTCTGTATCCGCCTGGTGCGGAGGCAGCCGTGACCCCCGGGGAGGAGGCCTTGGGCCAGGCCACACAGCACAGCATGGCCTTGTCATGGCCCCTCCCATGCCGGGTGGTCAGAAGCTTCTGTTGGGTGGGATGGTGGGATGGTCAGAGGGGGACACACAATGGACACACTTGTCCGAGGAAATCACCTTTGATAAGTTATGCAACCCACCCAACATAAATGACAGGGAGCATATTTTATTCTCTGGAATAGCCAAAATGATTTTACCCCTTAGACATTGAAGCAATTTCCTCTTTCGCTTTGGCTTCCAGAAAGCTCAGAATTAAATTTGTGGCCTGTTGCATAAGCTCATGTAGGATAATTAGAAATTACTTAATTTCCTCTGTTGTCTTTTTGTCCTGAGGATTATTTAATCAAGTAGTTCTCATCCTTGGCTGCTCACTGGAGTCACCCGAGGAGCTTTAAAAAATCCCACAGGTGGCACCCAACACCAGTTACAGTACAGTCTGGGATGCAGCCTGGGTTTAAATTTAAGTTCTTTAGGTGAGTCCAATGTGAAACCAGAGTTGGCCAACTTTTTCTGTAAAGGGCCAGACAGTAAATATTTCAAGCTTTGTGGACCCGATGGTCTCTGTCGCAACTACTCTATTCTGCCATCTTAGCAGGAAGGCAGTGAAGATGAATGAGTTTATACTCCAATAAAAACTTTATTTTCCAAAACAGGCATTGGGCCATATCTGGCCCACAGGCCATGATATGCCAGTTACCATCCATTAGAAATATCATGTGAGCCACATACATAATTTTAAATGTTCTAGTAGCCACATTTTTTTACAAAGCAAAAGGAAGCAAGTCAAATGTAATATGCTTATTTAGTAGACACAAAATATTATCATCGTAACTTGATTAACATAAAAACAATTAATGAGGTATTTTGTACTAAATCTTTGAAGTCCATCGTGTATTTTACACTTACAGCTCATTTTTATTCAGACCAGCCACATTTCAAGTGCTCAGCGGTTACACCTAGGACATATGAGACAGCACCCTATCTAGAATTTAAACAGCTCCAAATCCTATAGGAATGAGGCACTCAAATATAAATTATAGTCGAGTCACATGGTACCTGATTTAAAATAGTAAAAATGTGTTTTTAGGCACTTTTTAGTATGAGCCGTGAGTTCCCATCTCTCACATTGTGGGCAACCCCATTCACTATGGCTCCCTGCCCCAAGAGCCCCCAGGCCAGACTCGGGCTCATGGGTCAGAGAGTGAGATGAACAGTGTTAGGATCTGAACTCATACAGTGGGAAGGTAACTGAGTCAGCCATGGAGCACAGAGCCGAGAGGCAGCACTAAAAACACCAGTGGGGTAGGGAGGGTGGGTGAAGGGAGAGCCCAGGGTATGGCTGGGGTGCCAGAAGGTAGAGTGTGACCATTTACCAGGGAGAGACCAGGCCATGGGAGAAGCAGCTCAGCCAGCTGGATTTTAATTTCACGATTGTTTAATTATTTTTGCCTCTTTTTATAAAGCAGCTTTATTAAGGTATAATCAACATAGAGTCAACTGCACCTATTTAAATGGTTCAGTTTTATCAGTGTTAAATATACACACATGAAATTATCATCACGGTGAAGATTATGAACACATTCATCACCCCAAAAGTTTCCTTGTTCTGCTTACTGCCCTTGTCTTTTAGCTAGAGTTTAATCCATTTACATTTATTGTGTTTGCTGTTATAACTGGGTGATTTCTGATAAGAGTCTCTACTTCCTAGGACTGCAGAGAGGTCTAAATGAGATGATGTGCAGAAATGCCTGGCATAGTCCCTGGCACAGAACAAATGCTTGGTAACACATGGCACTCCCCACCCTCCTTGTTCTCTGCTTCTGCTTTCACCATCACCTAAAAAGCAGGGAGATGAGCTGGTATTCAGCTTACTCAACTTCACTGTGCCCAGGTGTTAGCCCTACCTCCTAACGACACCTTGAGACTCTTGAGGACAGAGAATTCTCCTTGTTAACCCTTCCACAGTTGTTGACTTACCACTGGGTCCCAGTCTGGTCTCTGCCACCTAACTGTGGGGCCTGGGCAAGTGACTATGCTTCTCCAAGTTTCATTTTATTATCTGTAAAGTGGAGATGATGGCACTGTACCTTTTCCCTGGGAATGAGGTGGAGATCGAACACAGTTGGGGTGACCAGATGACTCACTTGCACCTGAGTGCCACACAGTATTTCTAAATTTGGGAACTGGCATTGTTATTGTCACCCTCGATATGGTCATTTTGTAACTCCACAAGCATTTCCTTCACCAGCGGTGTGCCAGGCATGGGGGATACAGACATGGCCCTGCCCTGGACCTTGCCCCATGGCATGTTCCAGAAGGTTCTTTGAGGGGAGTAAGTGTGTGAGAATTGAGAAGAGGCAAGGGAAAAGGCACCTCTCTGTGAGTTATCTGTGTCCATTTGTTCTGTGGTAGGACTGTCTCACTCACCCTTAGATATCCCTGCATCCCTCAAAGAAAAATAGTGGCCCTGTTAGAACAGCTGATGAAATTAAGCAAGTTTGAACTAGGGCCTGAGGGTGGATGGGATTTGGGTAGGAAATTGAGAAGTGGGCAGGCATACTAAAGAATGCTCACAGCTGGGGCAAAGGCAGGGAGGTGGGAATGAGTATGCTCTGCAGGCATGAGGCAGCCATGTCAGCATGTCCTTGAGCTGGAAAGGCCCCACTGTGGGAGCACTGTATGCACAGCCAGGGCAAGAGAAGAAATGGTCTTGGGGAAGATGGATTGAGGAGCACAGCCTGGGTTTGGTGAGTGTATGCATTTCCCAGGACTGCTGTAACAAAGTACCATGAAGTGGGTGGTTTAAAACAACAGAACTTATGATCACTGTCTTGGAGGCTAGATCACCAAAATCAAGGTGTTGGCAAGGCCATGCTCCCTCTGAAGGTGCTAGGGGAGGGTCTGCTCCATGCCTCTCTCCTAGCTTCTGGCAGCCTCAGGGGTTCCTTGGCTTCTAGATGCATCATTGAAATTCTCCATTTTCATATGGCGTTCTCCCTGTGTCCTCCCTCTGTGCATGTCTGTGTCCAAATTTTACTCTTTTGTTAAGGACACTAGTCATATTGGATTAGGGTCCATTCCAGTGACTCGTCGTTTTAATTAATTAATGAATTAATTATTTTTTATGGTGACGTTGGTTAATGAAATCCAATAAGTTTCAGCTGTACACTTTAACTGTAAGGCATATATATGTTTACACTGTGTGTTCACCTCCCATAGTTAGATTTCTTTCTGTCACCACATATTTGACCCCCTTTACCCTGTCTACCTCCCCCCTCCCCCCACCCGCTACCCTCTACCAATGATTCATCTTAACCTGCTTAAATCTGCAATGACCCTATTTCTAAATAAGGTCACATTCTGAAGTCCTGGGGGTTAGGTTCAATATATCTTTTGTGGGAGACACAGTTCAACCCATATAACAGGAAGGTTCCTGAGAAGTCAAGAATGACTTCCCCAGGGAAGATATGTCAGGGCCCTTCAGCAGGCCCTTGGGACTGGGGCTGGCTGGGGATTAGGTCCTCTCAGGGACCCTGGCAGAACCCAGCATGGTGGGCCCCAAGGGGCCTCCCTGAGCATCCATCACATGTGGGCACACACAGGTTTAGTTTGGACCAGTGAGAGAGAGAGTCCTACTGGGAACCATTTCCATAGACAAGTTTAGCTATAGAAGGCATGGAGAGGAAGGGCGAGGACACATACTGGCCAATTCCCCACCCTCTTGGTCAGCTACCTGGAGGCCAAGGACACGGAGGCTGAGTAGCAGACGCAGTCCAAATCCTTCCAGGGTGCTGGTAGGCAATGGCTTTGCCCTTCTGAGCCTCATTTTCCCACTCAAGAAACATCATGGGCATAGTTTTCTGGACTAAATGTCACCTCTGGGGCCAGGTGTCCAGCACAGGTTGGCAGACAGTGGGCCTGCAGGATGAAGGCCCACTTTGCATTTGTCTTGGCTCGAACTAGATGGTAGACACTGATGGAGGGAGAGGGCAGAGGACAGACGCATCCCTGAGGGGCTGGCACTGCCCTCACAGAGGCCAGGCCCTTCCCTAGAGCCTGGGCAGCAGCCCCTCAGCTGTCCAGGGCCCACAGCTCAACCCTGGGGTCATGCACGCAGGAGAAGGGCAGGGCTGGGCATGCGCTGCTCAGCAGCACTGAGATTAAAATTGCTATGTGATTTCTCTCTGCTCCGCCGGGTCCTGTCAGAGCTCAGAAGTAAGTCTCTTCCTGGGGGTCAGGGGTGCATGGTGGTCATGGGACAGGGCACACACCTAGAGCAGCTTGTGGAGGTGGACAGGGCTTGTGTCCACTCTGCAGACCAATGCAGGCTTCACCTGGGCCTGGGAATCCAAGCTTCTGAGACATCATGAGTTGGGCTGTGTGGCTGAGCTAGCCTCCAGGCCCTGCTATTTCTTGCATGCGGGGAGGGAATGGACTACAGGGGTCCTAACCCCAACTTCTGCCTCATACTCCCCCTGCATGTCTCACATGGTAACCCTGGGTGGGGCAGGTGCATGAAGGATCCCCCACCCAATGCAGCCATCACCTAACCCCACCCACGCACCTGTCCCCAGGCTCCGGAGTGTGAAGATTGAGCAGGGGAAGCTGAATGATCAGGCCAACACGCTTGCCGACCTGGCCAAGGTGAGCAGGGAAGGTCCAGGTGGGGAGGCTCCTCAGGCCAAGAGGGACTGGTTGGGTGCCCAGGGGAGAAAGGGGGAACATTCAGTAAAAGACAGGGCCCAGCTCCTGCTGAGGGAGGGACAGCACTGGCACCAATAGGGCAGGCAGGTGACATAAGCAAGGGATGCAGGGTAGGCAGGACAAGCCATCAAGGAATACCAGCTCTGTCTGCAAGAGTCCACTGTGACCAGAGGCTCTGATTGTGAGAAGAACTCTGGGAATCTATGTCTGTATAGAAACGCTACTTTTAATATTGGCAAAGATTTTATTTGTAAAAAATCAGTATCTAAGAAAATAGCTTTAATAAAAATATGTAATTAGTGGGCAAAATTGGTGATGTGGTAATTTTGGTATGGATATAAATTCAAATTATAGCATCAGCAGAAAGCTAATTAGTATAGCAATTAAACACCTTTCAGGAAATTAAAGCTCTTGATTGCAAGAGCTCCGTAAGATCAGTTTGTGCTATAAATGGATCTATTTGTTGGTTCTAATATCAAGTCCTACTCTTTTCCGTTTTTTGTTCATCGATTAAAACAGTGGTCCTCAACATTTTTGGCACCAGGGACCAATGCTCCAATGAGAATCTAATGCCTGATGATCTGAGGTGGAGCTGAGGCGGTGATGCTAGCGCTGGGGAGCTGCAGCAAACACAGATGAAGCTTCACTTGCTCCCTCGCCAGGCACTCACCTCCTGCTGTGCGGCCTGGTTCTTAACAGGCCATGGACCAGTACTGGTCCACAGCCTGGGGGTTGGGGACCCCTGCATTAAAAGATATGGCAACTGACCCGATTTTAGTTAGGTGAGCTCTTAGAATGTTTTCACACTATTCTGAATTTGCTCCTGACCAATGATGTGCATTTCATAAATAGTTCATGTGTGAGCTTTGCTTATTGTCCCCACCCCCTAATCAATTAATTAGTCTGAGACTAATTTAATATTATCTTTAGAAGATGTTAAGTCTTACCCTATTTTACTTCTTATACCCAGCTCATTTTGGATTCACTCTTTTCCTCATTATCAAGAGATTGCAAAATAATTTAATATTAACCTATTTAATTTGGAAGAGAACAGTACAGAGAAAAAAGAAATAATTCAAATGGTAGTTGAAAGAACTTAACCCTAAGAGCTTATAGAAATCATAGGTCAACTAATTTGGTGCCATATGAGATTATAGCCAAAAATATAGAATACCTGGGAAAAACTCAGATACTAGGAATTATAATTTGAATTATCCATATCACACTTTGTTAACATAAATGATTGAAATTTGAATTTTTAAGTTATTTAAATCTTGTAATCACGGTGGTATACTTTCAAAATACATTTCACAAAAGCTTTGAAAGTCTTTTAGATGAGATTGTATGAGTTTCTAATTTTTTTAATTAAACGAGGTTAAAATATTTTCCATTCTTAAATTTTCATGCTTTCCTTTCCAAAGTTGCTGATTTAATTTGTATCTCTCTGACAAAAATAAAATGTATATCCTAAGTTTTAAAAAATTTTTTTTTAAAACTCAGGGCCAAAATGAACCATCCCAGGGCTGAATGCCTCCAGATGTTATGCTTTTGCCCTGGGGACTGTGGTTCTGTAAGGCAGGCCCGGGTGAAGGTCAGTGGCCCTAGGAGTTGTCTCAAGGTGCTTGCACGCCCCTCCCCTTCAGCGGAGTCAGCCTACCAGTAACAGAAGGAAAGTGGGGCACGGCAGAGGAAAGGCCTGGAGGCTGGAAAGGAGGGACTGCGGGTACCGAAATCGGCGCCTCATCCTGTCTCTCTCCCACGGAGCAAGGGGTCGGGGGTATTTTACCCCCTCAGCTGCACTGTCCCTTCAGTCCAACCCTCGGAAGCCTGGGATGGGTGGTAGGCTGCGGTCCGCCTTGGGGTCTGGTCCCGCAGACCTAGGGTTAGACTGGGTACGATGTTCTAGCGCCACCTGGTGGCAAGAGTAGCGTCTGCACCGACAGCTGTTTCCGCATGGCCGGCCTCCTCCTCCAGCTCTGGGTCCCGTTAGGACAGTGTAGCACCAACCCCTGCTGGCTGCACTGTGGGGAGCAGCGAGGTGGTGGGGATGCCCCCTCGTCTACCATAACAGTAATTGTTATGGCTGTCGTATTCCCAGCCTGTGATTGGGTCATATCCTTGGGTAGTCACCTGTCGCTCCAGACCCCTTGTACCATTCCCAGTCTAATGTGCCACATGGCCAGTTAAATCCCTTAGGGCAGCTCTGACCACAGCCATCTGGCCCCAGGACCTCCCTCAGCCTTTCTCAGGTCTGCTGACCCAAGCCTGGCATTCAAGACCTGTCTATCCCCTCACCTATTCTCTCACCATTCCCTGGGGGCCAACAGGAGAACATGCAGGGCTGGGGGTGTCCTCACAGTCACAACCATCTCTCTGTGTGTCTGTCCCTCCCTGTCTAACTTGGCCTCTTCTCTCTCCCACCTCTTTGTCTTGGGCAGACACAGAATGCCATGTACGACCTCATGTCGGAGTTGCACGCTCAGCACGAGGACCTTGAGGCCCGTCTGGCTGCTCTCGAAAGCCGCCTGGATTCACTGGGGACCTCCCTGCAGGCCTTGCCTGGCCTCATTGCCCAAGCCATACACCCACTGCCCCCCCCACCCCTGCCTCCATGGCCTGGCCCCCCGGACTGGGCAACCCGGAACCCCCCATGCCAGCGGCCGCCCGTGACCCCTTCAGATTGCGGGTGATGGCCCTGCACACCACCGGACCCCACAGTCTTGGCCATCGTGTGGCCAGCACCAACATGCCATCCAGGAAGCCCTGTCCAATGGCACCTCTTGGAGTTCAAAGAGCCAGAGCTGAGTTGGGCAGAGTGGCCGGGGACCCACCCCACCCAGACTGTCTGGGCAGAGGGCAGAGCTGGACCGCAGACAAGGGCAGGGGTGACTGCTGCCTCCCTAGTTGGAGCTGGAGGAGCCTGGAGCTTCCTCTGGTCCCCTGGCCCCCGGACTTTCCCCAGGCCCCTGGTGGGCTCGGAACAACAGGGAGAGAGGTCCTTGCCAGTTCTGAATAAAGCAGGACCCACCCAGTTGCTGCGTATTATGCATGGGGGGGGGGCGGGGATACTCATAATTACAACCCGGGAGGTGAACACCCAGCCCAGGGTCTCAGAATGAATGTGGGGGTCAAGGTGAGCCTGTCTCCATCACTTTCCTAGCTTGGTAGTCTGCTGGGCATGGCCCAATACCAGCCTAGGCTGCAGTTGATAATCAGACATCCTTCCCTTTGAACAGTTGACTTTGTTGGCACACCCACTGTAGGCCAGTTGCCAGTGAGGCATGGTCCAATGGAGAAGATGCCATGGGTAAGGAGGGCCATTCAGTGTTCATTGCACATGTATTAAGCACCTACCATATACAGGGAATATAATGTAAATTATTAGACTTGTCACCAGAACCTGACCAGGGTAAGATGGGGAAACTGAGGATCAGAGATGTTAAGCCACCTGTCTGGGGGCTATAGGGTGAAGAGGAGTGAGCCAAGACTCAAACTTGGGAGCCCATAGGCCACAGTGAAGAACCTGGACTAGGTGGAGGGCACTCCATGGCAGGGGGGCTGGTATAAGTTGGGGAGGGTGTGGTGCGATCCTGGAGTTAAAGTGGCCCCTCTGGGGTGGGCTGGAAAGGAAGGTTCTAGACCCAAGTAGAATCACACAGGTCCCTCCAGTCCTTGGGCTTGGGGTGCTAGGGTTGGGTAGGGGTGGCTGGCACTTGGCAGATCCTCGGCCCTGAGCAGAATAGGGAGGAGGGCCTGGCCCCAGAGGAGACTAATCTGGGCCCAGTGGAGAGCCCAGGCCCTGGCAGCCTCTAATAAGGCTACTGGCCACCTGGCTCCTGGAGATAGGTTGAGTGCAAGAGAGAGAAGGGTGTGGGGAGGTGCAGGTGGGCTGTGATCATACCTGGATTTGAAACCTAGTTGCCTCTGGTAAGGGAGCATCTGTTTCCTTAGCCGTAAGATCTAGTGATGAGACTAGGGCACAGGGCTCACCCTCGGGTGCACCTAGTCTTATGGAGGAGCCACAGTAAACACATAGCAGCCACAAACAGTGAGCAGAGCCGTAAAGAAAGAAACAAAGCCAGAGTTTGACTAGTGGACTCAGGAAGTGACATTTGGGCATGGGTGGGGGGTGGGTTGGAGAGTGGATCTGAGCAAGGGCGTTCCTTGCTAAAGAACAGCCAGTGCAATGGCCAAGAGGCAAGAACTGAGCTTGGTGTGTTTGGGAAACAACCAGGAGGTGGCAGGGACAGGAGGAGATAGGAAGCTGGGGCAGCGCCTGGGGCCCAAGGTGCCGGTTGGGGGACACATGAGACCACAAGGAACAGCCCAGTGGCTGCCTCTGCTTTGCGCCAGCCACATCCGCCCCCGCCCGCCTGTGACTCATCAACACCGACCCTACAAAAACAGGGCCCGCCCCGCGCTGGGGGGTGGCAAAGTCAATAGCTCGGGCAAGAGGGCAGCACATCCCCCGAGGCACGTCACGGGGGCGGATGCCGAGGACCAGGAAGTCTGCGGAGGCCCACGACGCCTGCACAAGTTCTCGGAGAAAGAGCGGGAGTGCCCGCGACGGAGAGGACGAGCGCTGAGACACGGGAGGCCCGCGGTGAGCGTGGTGACCGCGCGGCCCGGCCGCGCTGTCCCTGCGGTGCACCCAGGCCCGCGCCATGCGCCGGGGAGGCGTGCGCACCTTCGCGCTGGAGCTGGCCCGGGGCCCTGGCGGCGCGTACCGCGGCGGGGAGCGACTGTGCG